AGCTTTAACTAAGAATAAACAGGATGCTATAACCAATTTGCTAGCCCACTGATTTTCTACAGCCCACAGACCAACATCATCTCACCATGTAATTAAGAATTATAAGTGTGCACCTGAAAGAAAAGGTTCTCGTGTACCTCCTCCAACAGAAAGGGGCCCAATCAAGGATCCATTCTGAACAAGAACTTTGTACAGGCCTGCAACAGGGAGGACAAGGGAAACCTATGCCTGATGCTAATGTACCACAGTCCAAAACCTGCATGCTTTATTGGTACATGGCAGTGATGGGGAAATGTTGTTGAACTGCAGCTCTGATTTCACCTCCCAACTAGGTACACTGTTGAGACCAATGAGATTTGTTGTCCAGCAAAATATGGAGAATCAATAATTTTGCAGCCTCATGATACAGGAGGGGTGGAATATATAACAAAATATATATGTTATATTTTTAACAGCCAGATATGCATATCCCTCACCTCACCAGCCCTACATTTCATTCAAGGATTGCCAAGGCTGTTAGGGGTTCCAAGCAGACTAATTTCCATTTTCAGTTAACCGAACCATGCCAGTTGACATGCTTAATATTTCTTTAGACCTAGAAGTAAGTAATTGAGGGCTCGTCAAGCTATCTAAGGAGATTTAATTTTCTTTCATTTATAAGAAGACAGATTTCTGCATACTCTGAGAGTTTCCGAAATATGTTGACACCACTGGTGTGTTTGGGGTGGCACAACTTTGTTTCCAAATTGATAAACGTGAGATGTTCCACCTCTGATATTAAACTTTCTACATATAATCACAAAGATGTGAAATAATGTAATTATGTAATTAACTTAAAGATATCCACCCAAAGCGACTTTTAAATGAGATTTTTTAAACCACGATAGTGCATGGGTAAAGAAAATACCCAGGAATGACGTAAGGGAATCAATCAGTGATTCTGAAAAGAGTTAGACATTTTGCATACAAGCATGCCCCAAAGATCTGTTTTCCTTAGTATAGCACATGTTTTTTTTTCAGCATTTAATTAGCTGCTTCAGATGAAACTTCAGTTTATGGATAGTCACAGAAGATAGTTTTCTTCACCTAAGCATACCATGGCACTCTTGGAAGCAATGACATGGAGAAAGCGATCATGAAGATTAGTAGGATGGGGCTTTTGTCAGCAGCAATTTCTGCCAGTGTAGAAGCTAAAAAAAAAATGATGTTACAGTCCTGAAACCTGCTGCTAGCTTCAACCATAGACCATTCTGACCTATCGATGGGCTGAGCACAGTTTAGGATACACCTTATACGTAGGAGAAAAATCCACTTGTGTGAACCCATCCTAGTTTTCCACTAAATCAAGATCAAATATCACACAATTACAAACAGCAGGCGTGTTTTATTTCAATGGAAAGCACATTCCTGTTTCCAAACCGCATACCTGTTTTTAAGAAAAGCAGCAATAACAACCATGTGCATTGTATGTATACCATCACACACTTGTTCTTTTTTTCCTTCCCAAGGGATTCACATCATTAAGTCAAGGCTTACTCTTTGCCACAAACTTATTAAGAACAATAATAAATGTGGGACATTGTTGTGGTGTATAAGAAGCTGCCATTTGTTTTACAAGAAACCCAGTCATCAATAAATAAATAAAATCCTATTCAAAAATCAATTATTAGGAGTCTTTTTGTACGGAGAAGTACCACACCTTTCAGACAACTGGTATTAATGAGCAGGCACGACTATAGAATCACCATCCATTTTTCTGACAAAGCTGCAACTAGTTCAGGCTTCTCATTGAAATTCCATTAATCTGGTACAGCCTGGTCCAGTGTGAAAATCAAAACTCCATCTAACCCTTTATCAGTTCACAATAACCTACAAGTGAACTCTGCCTGTTAGCATACAGCAAGTTATGATTCTGTCATCAATCAGGCTGTGATGAGCCAATAAAATAAAAGCCAGTCAGGAACAATGTGTGTCTGTCAGGAATTCGGCATCTTGTTTCATTCCAAGGTGGTGTCTTCTAGATAAATTCTTTTACTTTCTGCACCTCTTTCTGTAGGGTGTCTCCTCCTCTCTTTCAACTTGATTGCTTCCAGCAATAAGTCAAAGCATCACCAAAGTGTGCTTGAATTTCATTAGGACATATAACTTATGCTACTTTCCTACAGTACCTAATAAAACCATAAAGAAACCAAAACACCTATGGCTGGAGGGAATAACTGGAAAATTAGGTGGTCACTGGGGAACTGGATGAACTTTTGAACCAAGGAGGCAGATGCAGGGGGGGGGGTTATCTGTTGGAAATTCAAATGTGTAGGGCTGAAAACAGGCTTAAAAATGAATATAGATGTTCGGGGGTAGGATGCTTATATTTTCAGGCCCTATAAAAAGGACATCATTATAATCACACATGTTTAGAGTTTATAATCCATCAGGATACAGATCCTTATTCTATGCCTAACATACAATAAGAGCCAAAGGAGCAAGATAACTCTCAGATAGGCCAAATAGGCCTTTTGGTGAACTATGCTAATTAAGTTATACTATACGCCTTGTTAAAATAATTATCTTCCTTCTAATTAATATGCTGTTAGAAAAAGGTCAAAGAAAAGAACAAGATTTTTCAATACTGCACTGTACACACAGTACCCCTCCATCACAAGCAGATGATTGCAATATATTCTCAATTATCTTTTAAAGGCCACATAGTCAATCGAAAACTAAATTATTTATAAGAAAGTCTGAAAGACGGTGCTTAATCTTTAGGTGTGTTGTTAATGAAGAAAGCCATTGGCTAACGATATAATTTCTATATCCCTACTGATGCCACAATGGGCAACACAACTAGTATTCTAGGAATGGCATGTTTCCAAAGAAACACAATTACAAATGGAATATCTGGTCCTACAAGTAAGTATTTTAGATATGTACACTTTTACTTGGACAGCTTCTAACTTCCAATGAGCTGTGGAAGCTGTTTATGAAAGTAAAACAAACAAACAAACAAAACAACTGGAGACCAAAGTACTAGCAATGAAAAAAGCTGAAAAATACATAAGGGTATTAGTTAGGGAATAAAGAACATATTAAAGTTGCAATCCTGTATCCATTGCCCAGGAATAACCTCACCTCAATGGCAGTTATTATGAGGTAGTCCAGTATACGATGGTGATGTAAATATAATTCACTGCATAGATGACTTAGTGATTTATTGGATACACACAAAGTAATACTATTTACCTACAGAGCAGGGAAGGTGAATACGCACCCTATTTGATGTTGCTACACTGTAATCCCAACATCCCTTCCCAGAATATCCACTGGCAAAAGACAATAAGACTTATAGTCCAACCACCTCTGGAAAGCCTCATTCTCCTCATCCCTGCTACAGAGCACATCTTGAAATGCATGAGGTTATGTCCTGCAAACCCAATTCATTCCTGTTAAAGAGAGACTGATTATTAATAAAAGGAATAAGTAGGAGCAGTTTATTTCACATTACAGTCTTTACTTTTATACTACATATGAATTGCTGGAGTCCTTGTGTGGAAAACTTGTGGGCCTTTCTCCAAACTGTGCTTTTATCTCTTAGGCAGACTTTCAATACACCGATAAATGTATACATGTTGTTTTCTAGTGTACTATCTGTCTCTTGTTCGCTGTAGTTTCTGATATTGACAGCCATCTTGAGCTTGCTTTTTACTGAAAGATGCTATAAAAATAATCTTTCCAAATGAATTTTCTGCATGTTTATACTGATGATAACTGAAAGCTCAAGCATTAGCGGCACTCAGCTGCTCACTGTTCACCTTCACAGACAAAAGCAGTTGTCTGTGTTGTCTTTTGAAAAACAAGAACCAAACATTCCTCGTGTCTGCTCCTTGGCAGCTGCCTTCAATACGCAATAGCCATAAAACACAACCAAACAGAATGATAGCAACACACTTGTTAAGAGAGGAACCACTTATATATATATATATATACACATAGTCACTGTAACACATTTTACAGAGTTCTAGGAATATAAAGGTCTTGTATTTTGAATCAGCTGTTAGAAGGTTTATCACTTATGCACGTATTTGACTTATCCCTCTTCTGCAATAGACATAATTTTATAACTCATAAAAGCAATATATGCTTCCAAAGGGAACAATCTGTATAACATAAAATGTGGAGTAGCATGCTGTAACACACACATTTAGCTGTTGAAATCAAGCTGTACAGTTTCCTCATCAAACAGCAAACAAACAAATAAAAAACACACAAGTGGCTCACTTCAAAGTCTGAATTGCTGAGAAACCCATCAACATACATTGTGATTTATATATACACGGGATTGATCAGCCGTTGCTCAACAATCATTAGAAAGAGACTGTCGCAAACCATGACGCAACAACCTCCACATTCAAAAACAATAGAAAATGATGAAAATTTGTTATTTAATAAACTCATCCCAGGTTGGGGGGGGGGGAATGATCAAGTGACAGAGCCAGAAATAGTTTGAAGGAAAAATCAGTAGAACATTAATCGGATGGCAAATTAAGAGAATACATATTTAATAAAGTCATTTGCTTTTGAGGTGGCTTTCAGCGCCCCACCTGCCCCCCTCCCCCCAAAAAATCCCTCTTGGAATTCACTGTTTTGATAGAGACAAAAGAAGAGGAAGCCCTTCATATAGCCAGGTTAAATTTAACAAGATTCTGATGTTTAATTAACATAAAATGTGTCCTAAATAGAAAATGTCAGTGCTTTACAGTCGCCAATTCATGCAGTTGTAAGGAAGGAATCTCTCCTACGGGAAAAGAGTAGTAAAGAGGGTATGCATTTTTAAAAACATTTACTGCACCTCTTTCACCACTAGAGGGCACTCTTCAGTTCCTTAAAGGTCTTGAGATGGCATGAAATAAGCCCCACATGTTTCTTGAGACTTTGCCATTTATCCATTACCCATGAAATACACCAGTTCAGCTAAGAAATATAGTGAGACAGAGAGAATTACTCACCATCACTGGGACCGTCATTATCACATTGGTCAGATGCTAGAGAGACACTGTCTGGAGGCGCAGGGCCAGATCCTTCAACCTCTTCTTCATCTTCTGGTTCACCTGCACAAACCATATATTTACCAGTCGTCAAAGCAAGGTCTTTACAGTTTGATCCTACACACGGAATAAAGCAAGCACCGCCGCAAGCCACGCTTCAAGTAAAATCAATGTTGCAAGAAGCCTCTGTCCACATACTTCAGAAGCATGGTTGGAAATTCCAAAACTACACTTATTGACCAGATTAAGTCTTAACCAACAATTAGCCTAGGGTTTGTCCTGAGTTAAACATTTTCCTCACTTCCTAATTTAGATGGGAATGGGAAAATATCAAGTAGGAGACATTTTGTTGTGAAAGACTGGATCTAACCTGCCTTTCTCTCCTAGTGGGAACTGAAGGAGGCATATAAAAATATTTTAAATCCACAAATAATTTAAAACATGCTGATTATAAATGAGAACTAAAATACATTACTTACCAATTACATTATATACAAATAACTTAAGGACAACTAACTTAGCTGAGATCCAGTGTAATATGTGTAAATAACAACTGGTACGTGTAACACATTTCTTAGCAGTATTAGTCTCTAGACACTACGTATATGTTACATTTACACCCTGCCTTTCCTCTGCAATGCTCAAGATGGTGTACATGCTCTTCTTCTCCATGTTTATCTTTACAACAATGCTACAAGGTTAGCTAGGCAGAGATGGAGACTGCCCCAAAGTCACCCAGTAGCTTCATGGTCAGGTAGAGATTTGAACCTGGGTCTTCCAAATCTTTTTCCAACATCCCAACTACAAACATGCATTTTTACACAACTCCCACCATAGTTTTTGCAATAAAAAAGGTATTACATCATTTCTTTTATGGAATAAAAAACACACAGACCTAAATCTCCTTCCTTAGTTATGCTGACAACACTGTACGTACGTTTTTGTGGTGAACTGCCTGAAGTTAAAACCACTGTAGACATTCCCAGTTGCACACGGCGTTGTGTGACTCAGAGTGCAGCTGATAATGCCTACATTGATTTCTTAAGTTGGGGCAATTTGCCTCTAAAAGTTAAACCATCTGTATAGCTACACAAAAAGCTTTTGACTGCAGGGAGAAAGAGAAGGTGCCTACTAGCTGCAGCAGTATATGCCTGACGTGACATGTGCTTCAGTGCTTTTTCTTACATTATACAACACTAACACCATTTGTGACAGTGGCTGCAGTAGCAAATCTTAGGGCATGTGTGGCATGACATACTTGTGACATGAATACTTCATCACCCATCCAATGGGCAACTCAATCTCCATCCATCATGCCATCACTCAGCCTGCTTTTCAGCAGCTTTGCAGTCAGATAAACGGCACATGCCAAACTAGGCACCGATCTGTTCGTCTGCGCTTATGAGATCAATTGAGTCAAAGAAATGGTCGCTTACCTTCTGATCATTAAGTTTATGCATCTACCAATTGCTGAAAATTTGGATACACCTTGCTTCAGTGTTCATTTATAATGTTACACTGAATTTAATGAATTAAAACAGAGGGAGAGGCTGCCTAAGGGAACGTAACAGCATCGGAATAAATGTTAAACTCCCTCACATGGCCTCTCTTCAAAACAATTGCCAGAGTTCTTTGGAGAAAGGGAAAGCTACAAATAATACAGAAATGTCAGTTGTTGTACATCCAATATTAGTTAATTACTTCCAATTCAATCAGAACTCACTGTAAGCTAAAGCCCAACACTGCATTGAGGATAACCCTGTGTTACAAACCTTATGATAGTTTATCTACCATTATCCACCATAATGACATCCCCACAGAATCTGTTATTCTATGAAGTGCAGAACACTCCTGTACTTCCACAGGAAACATACGTAATAGATATTCAAATTTCACCAGTTTAGATTCTGCACATCAGCAATTAGTTCATAGTTTCCTGCACATTTGTTTATACAGTAATCAGTTTGGAGGGCTTCTTTGTGATCCACAAGTGGCTGTATCTAACTTCTCCACAGTGTAGAGAAACAAGATTATTTTTGGTTAAAAATAGCACAGATAACGTCATTTTCCTTCCAGTTTTGTAACATGAATGCAGAAGAAAATAATGTTTTAAATGTATAGAAAAACAGAAAGATATGTGTACTCTAGTAGCATACTCTCCCAAATTTTAAACCTCAATAATAATAATAGTAGTAGTAGTAGTAGTAATAGTAGCAATAGTAGTAACAACAACAATAATAGTAATAATAATAATAATAATTCCAGAGTTGAAAGTGAAAAAAAAAAGAATTGGGAAAACGAATAAAATACAGAGACCTAGCAATCGAAACATCTCCCTTGTGGATGAAACATACTTCAGTGGTCCCTGTAGTTATTGGAGCTTTGGGAACAATATCAAGATATCTGGTGTAGTTGGCTTAGCACTCCCAAGCCAACTACACCAGACACAGGTTACTGTCCTCTGAAGATGCCGGCCACAGAGACTGGCGAAACATTAGGAAGAACAATCTTCAGAATACGACCAAAGAGCCCGAAAAACCCAGAACAATCAATATCAAGAAATTTCACACAATATTATAAACAGCTGTAGATCTCAGAAATAACACCCTTTGAGCTACAAAAAAACAGCAATATTAGGAACAGCATACATACTGCACTGATATTTAACATATAGTTGGGTTTTTGGTTAAAACTTTATCTGCTTATGTAATACCAGTCAATGTTTTTATAGTTTTGATTGACTGTGCCTGGTGTTTTTAATAATAACAACAATAATAACAATAACAATAATGATGATGATGATGACGACGACTATGATGATTATGAGTATGAGTATGAGATTATGTCTATTGAATTCTGACTTACGGTGACCCTTCTCAGGGTTTTCTAGGTAGAGAGTACGGTACTCAGAAGTGGTTTACTACTGATATCTTAAGTTTTGTGCAGATAAACAGAAACATTGTTTATAAATGGCAACACTCATGTATTTGAGCAATTACAATATTTATTTATCGTTTCTATATGTTAAGTAAGGGAAACTGGGAAGATCAAATAATAGCAGGGTGTTATAACTAATAGTTGTGTCCTGTAACTAACAGCAATGTGTGATACAAAATTGCAAGTACACACTACAAGCAGTTGAAAAGTCACAGAATACTTTATTATGTCACAAAAGAACTTACTACCATGAACCTAAGGGAACCAAGCAACTTGAATGCACCATGGCAGTTAAAGCTTGGCGTCCAATTTCAGGGACCAAATTTGACAACAAGTTGGCATAGGAAAAGGGAGGAAAAGTTCAATACTGGCCCTACTCATTTTTTGCTTGGACTGTAGCATGGCATCCCATAACTCTGATGCCAGACATAAACAGCCCAAGTCCAAACTTCGTTCTCAGCTGTGTCCTGGAGAGAACGCCACATATGCTGGCACAGGACAAATAATTTTCCACAAAAGAAAATTTGTCCAGATATTTTCATCATTGTGTTTCTCCAATAAATGCACTTTTTCTTCAAATTAATTCATAATATAATGAATGCAAAAAGTAGTCAAATTCAGCAGTTTCACAGAGACAGCTAACATTTTTCAGGGGATGATCTCAATGAAATATATATGCCAGCTCCTTCAGCACACTAATATTAGTATGTTAATAATTTTCTATTGTACTGAGTTGCCATATCTTAAATATATCACATGTATTCCACTAAAAACAATTCCCAAGTAAACTGCTAAATGTTAACTTAGATGTTAACATTTAAATGACATAATATTCACCTATTTCTTAGCAAAGTATTTCAATTTAAATCAATTTTTGAACTTTTACAACAGAAAAAAAAATTAAAACAGGCTTTTTTTTGTCTACTAAAGAGGGAGGTTATTTTTTTTCCTAAGGGCATCTTTCTCATAAGCGTTGAAAGGAAATGAAGCAGCAGCAACTCAGCCTCAAGGTTCAAATCTGCCCTTTAGCCTCCAGCTGTTGTAGGAGCTTCCATTCACATCATTCTCAGTTAGCATAGTCAATGGTGAGGGCTGCTATAAGATGGAGAACCACGAATCAGGGAGGATTTGCTTTAAACCAAATTGATTTAAATTTTAAAAATGTTTTTTTTATCAAATAATATTTTTTTAAAATTTGGGATCATATCCACTGGCTCATGTCTTCATCCAATATCATTGGCAGTAATTTCTCCGTGGAACTCAGTGGTCAAAATCCTGATGCTCAGCATGTTAAATTGCACTAGGGTAGATCCAGAGTAGACTTTGGCCTAGATGGATGGGATATAAATTAAATAAAAATAAAATAAATCCATTGATTCCAATGGGCCTACTCTAATTGCTGCTCAGCATTGGATGTCACAGTAGCCCCATCTAAATCAATGGAACTTACAGAGGAGCTGACTCAACAAATCGTGACTGCTAACCAGTCTTCTCTAGGTCAGAAGAGAATATTCATTTATTACACTGTTGTTGTTGCTGTTTAGTCATTTAGTCATGTCTGACTCTTTGTGACCCCATGGACCAGAGCACGCCAGGCCCTCCTGTCTTCATTTATTACACTAAGCAAGAGAATTTTGGCCACTCTGTTGAGCAACTTGTATGATTCACTTAGCAGGAAGTTGTTCAAATCATACCCATTTGCCAATATCTTAATTTAGCAAAATTTCTCTCATTGCTTCTCCCATTCATTTTCTTTGTTTTCCTTAAGTATTCTCACTTCAAGGGAAAGTTTATGGGCAGGGTTTTGCCCCTGTAAATTTTATATTTTACATTGTGCTTCCGATATGTTAAAGTTGTGTTACTACGACACAGGAACTTTACACCTCAGTTCAATACCAACCACTAAGGGGATCCTCAAAAAAACAATGCCAAGCTGCTTATTTTGATCTGTTTACTCTTTAGATCCTTTTGTGCACAGTTGAATTACAGAATTTACTGTCAAGCAACTGAGCAATGGCAACAAACCTGGACATGATTTTAAAAGGGGGTTGGACAAATTCATGAAGGACAAAGCTATCACAGGCTATTATTCAGAGTAGCTATAAATTCCCTGCAGTATTAAAGGC